GGTTTGGTTTTGGTTTGGTTTGGTTTGGTTTGGTTTGGTTTGGTTTGGTTTGGTTTGGTTTGGTTTTGAGACAGAATCTCACTATGTAGACTTGGCTTGCCTAAACCTCTCTATGGAGACGAGGCTGACCTTGAATGTGTGGCCTTGAATTTGCAATGATTCTACTTTTTTTTTAATTTTTTAAAATTTATTTTTATTTTATGTGTTTGAGTTTTATGCCTGCAAATGTGTAATGCACCCATGTCATGCAGTGCCCACAGAGAACAGAAGAGAGCGTCAGATTCCCTGGAACTGGAGTTATGGACATTTGTTAGTGGCTATGTGGATTCTGGGATTTGAACCCAGGTCTTCTGCAAGAACAGCCAGTGCTCTTACCCTCTGAACCATCTCTCCAACCCCAATCCTACGTCTTTTTAAATTTTTAACTTTTTTTAAATTTTTTATTTATTTTTTTATTTTATGTGTATTCATGTATTGCCTGCATGTAGGTAAGTGCACTCATGTCATACAATGCCCACAGAGATCAGAGGAGGCGGTCGGATCCCCTGGGACTGGAGTTACAGACAGTTGTTAGCTGCCATGTGGGTGCTGGGATTCAAACCTGGGTCTTCTACAAGAGCAACCAGTGTTCTTAACCACTGAGCCATCTCTCCAGCCCCAATTTTTAACTTCTTTATGTGTATGATTGCTTTGCCTGAAGGTAAGTGCACCATGCAGAGGCCAAAAGAGGACATCAGATTCCTCTGGAGCTGGAGTTAGGGACAATTGTGAACAGTCATGTGGGTGCTAGGAACTGAACTGGGGTCCTCTGGAAAAGCAGCAAGTGCTTTTAACTGCTGAGCCATTTCTCCAGCCCCTGATCCTCCTACCTTTCCTTCCCAAGTGCCACGATTACAGGCATGGGCTACCATGTTTTGTTTTGAAAGACAGGCTACTGCTATGTAGCCTCAAAACTGTGATCCTCCTGCCTCCATCTCCCAAACACTGGGACTGTAGTTGTGCACCATCACACCCAGCAATAGGCTCTTTTTAATTGAAGACTGCATGCTCCATATGTTTCCCACTTCTATTCACTAATACATCCTTCCCCACAGATTTTGAAATGCCATTTTTACAGAAAATTCTTACATATCTATTGCTGTACTTGCTATTTTCTGTATTTCTTACATTTCTTTACTATTGCTGATAATGTCTATTTTTATACTTTCTATATTTATGTACTGTTATTTATCATGTACTCTCCCGACCTAGTATAACTTTTAATTACTGTACTTTAATAGGAGGTTTTTATGTCCACAAATTTCCTTTATTAGTTTCCTTCTTCATCTTGTTTTGTTTCATGCATTTTTCGGGGGGGGGGTCTTTTTGAGACAGCGTCTCCCTGTAGCCCCAGCTGGCCTGAAATTCGCTATGTAGACCAGGCTGGCATCAAACTCACAGAGATTCGCCTGCCTCTGCCTTCCCAAGTACTGGGATTAAAGGCATGTGCCACAACACCCGGCAATTTTTTTTTTTTGAGACAGAGTCTCATGTATCCCAGGCTAGCCTTGAACTCACTGTATAGCCAAGGATAACCCTGAATTTTTTTTTTCAGTCTTTTTGAGACAGGGTCTCCCTGTAGCCCCAGCTGTCCTGGAACTCACTATGTATACCAGGCTGGCCTTGAACTCACAGGGATCCGCCTGCCTCTACCTCCGGAGTGCTGGGATTAAAGGTTACCATGCCCGGCAACCCTGAATTTTTGATCCTCCTACCTCTAACTCCTGAGTGCAGGGATTATACATGTGCATCCAATTATGTGATGCTGGAGATTAAAGCCATGCTGGACAAGTACTCTACCAAGTAAGCCACATCCCTAGTCACACTGTAAAATTTTTCATACGTGGGTTGGGGATTTAGCTCAGTGCTAGGCAAGCGCAAGGTCCTGGATTCAGTCCTCAGCTCCGAAAAAAAATTTTTTTTTCATACAAGGAATACAGCTAAGCATGGTGGTGAATGCCTGGAATTCCAGCACTCTGGAGGCTGAGACAAGAGGATTGCAAGTTTGAGGCCAATCTGGCCTACACATGAACAGCAGACAAGCCAGGGCTACATAGTGATCCCATGTCTCAACAACAACAACAAAAAGGAATCTAGGAACTGTGGCAGGTAGGCACTAACTAAAATGACAGATGGTGACATATACCAGGTAAGAGATTCACTAGAGCCCCTGAGCTCAAGAGTGGCCAGAGCAAGACAGTGGATGAAAACTCGGAAACAAACAAAACAGGTACTTCTTTAGATGAAATACCATTACACTATGAAGATGCCACCCCAAAACAGGATCCAGCTTGCCATTTATTCAACTCTTTAACCTGCAGCAAAGTTAGCTTTCATACAAACACATTTTATATTAAGTATTTATATTCAAATATGTTTTTCCAAATTTCTGTTTCTTTTGAAACAAAATCTTTTCATCATGTTCTGTCTGAACATCATCACTCCCCAGGAAAAAGCATGTTTCTGCCTTTATTTAATATAGAGTGTTAAACACCCCTCAGTTTTCATTTATGTGATGCAATAAGAGCAAAGCAATAGACTTTTTCCAACATTTTATTTTAAAATGTTTCAAATATACAGAAAAATTAAAAGAATTGAAAAGATGGCTCAGTGGGTAAAGGCACTTGCCACCAAGCCTAATGACTCAGGTTGGATCCCCAGACCTACATGGTGGAAGGAGAGAACTGAATCCCACAAGTTGTCCTCTGACCTCCATATATGTACCATGGCATACACACACACACACACACACACACACACACACACACACACAAATCCACAATCAATCACTCTTTAAAATTTTTTTTAAATCCAGGGCTGGAAAGATGGTTCAGTGGTTAAGAGCACTAGCTGCTCTTGCAGAGGACCCCAGTTCAATTCCTAGCACCAACACAGTAGCTAACAACCACCTGTAACTCCAGTTCCAGGGGATCCAACACTCTCTTCTGAACTCCACAGGCACTGCACTACATGGGTACATACATACATGCAGGCAATACACTCATACATATAAAATTTTTTTTTAATTAAATTTTTTTTGGTCTTTTTGAGACAGGGTCTCCTTGTAGCCCCAGCTGTCCTGGAACTCACTATGTAGACCAGGCAGGCCTCCTGCCTTTGCCTCCCAAGTGCTGGGATTAAAGGCATGCACCACCACGCCCGGCAAAAAAAATAACTTTTTTAAATTAAAAAGAATCATACTAGAATGACCTGTACCCCACCACTTGGATTCCAGTATTGACGTTTTACTGCACTTCCTTCATTTGCTTCTGCCCTATCTAGGTCTACCCTTCTCTAGTATCCTCCATGTTGTTCAAATAATTGTCTAAAACAAAATGGAGAACCTCAATAGGTCTCTGGGAAACAAGCCAAATTCCTTAGCACACCATCCAAGGCCTTCACAAACTGACCCCAACCCACCTTCTAGTGGCATTCCTGCTGCTTCTCTTTTCTTTGCACATACAAGGTTCTTTACTGAGCAGTTTTCACGTCATCTTGATGAAATCTTACTTCATCCCCAGCTCAGATATTACCCCTACCATCAAGCTTTCCCAGAATTCCACTGGCTCTATTAGGTGTTCCCCAAAACCTCCATTAAAACTTTGACCATGCATCAAAATATATTGAAGGAGGGGCTGGAGAGATGGCTCAGTGGTTAGGAGCACTGACTGCTCTTGCAGAGGACCTGGGTTCGATTCCCAGCACCCACATGGTGGCTATGAACCATCCTTAACTCCAGTTCCAGAGGAATCTGAAGCCCTCTTCTGACCTCCGCAGCATTGCATGACACATGCATGCAGGCAATATACTCACACATATAAAATAAAAATAATAAATAAAATATTTCTTAAAAAATATATTGAAGAAGCTAGAGAGATGGCTCAGCAGTTAAAAGCACTGGCTGCTCTTGCAGAGGACCAACATTTGGTTCCCAGCACCCACACGGCAGCTAACAACATCAGTAAGTACAGTTTTAGAGAATCCCACACCTTCTTCTAACCTCTGAGGGCACCAGGCACACACGTGGTACACTTTCATAGATGCAGACGAAATACTCATACACATAAAATAATAATAAATTAATTAATTAATTAAAAAAAATAAGAGTACTTGCTTCTCTTCCAAAGGACCCAAGTTCAGTTCCCAGTACCCATGTCACGCTGCCTGTAACTCCAACTCTAGGGGATCTGACACCTTCATCCCCTCTGTGGGCACTGCACTCACATATACACCACACATACACATAATTAAAAATAAATATTTTCTAAAAAAATGAAACAGGTATATTAAGATTTTTTAATCTTTAATTGTGTGTGTGTGTGTGTGTGTGTGCACGCGCTCATGCGCATGCACGCACAAAGAAGTGCAGGTTCCTGCAGAGACTATTGGATCCCCTGGCACTGGAGTTATAGGCAGTTGTGAGCCACCTGTGGTGGGTGCTGGGGGTAATGTTGCTCCATGGTACAGAACAGCAGAAAGGTCTGGGTTCAATCCCCAGCACCACCAAATACATAAAATAAATTTAAATATTTAAATATGTTTTCATATGTCTAACTTCCCTACTAGTTTATATGATCATCAAAAGCAAAATGCTGGGGCTAGAGAGGTGACTCAGCAGTTAAAAGCACTGTCTGCTCTTGCAGAGGACCCAGGCTCAGTTCCCAGCACTTACATGGCAGCTAACAACCATCTTAACTCCAGTTGCAGGGGATCCAACGCCCTATTCTGGCCTCCATGGGCATTGCACACATGGGTGCACTTACATACATGCAGGCAAAAGTTATACACATAAAATTAAAAATGAATGTAAAAAGCAAAATACTGCCTCCTCTTGGCAGGGTGCCCCTCACACACTGGGATTCCCTGGGCCTTAGGCACAGAGCAACACATAACTCGGGGTGATGGAGATAGGCCTCTGCTCCCTGAAGGACTTCCTCTGACCTGAAAAGGATAGTACCCACCTGTACAGGCATGCCCAGCTCCAGCTTCAGCCCCAAAACAGGGTCAACAAAGATGGTGAGGATAGATTTCACGGGATCCTGGGCAAAGTGTTCCAGAATGGCATCATGCTCCTGTGTCCACACTGCATCTGCCAGCCCCGTCAACATAGCTCGAGAGAGGAAAAAGGGCTTCTAGAGGAGATCAGACAGACACACCATGCAGTCAGAACTGTTAGGATGAACCATTCTCCCAGCCACGATTGCATTCCTGACGTGGGAGACGAAAGGAGGAGCCAGATAGGTTCAGAAGACAGGAGAGAAAACTGAGGGTGACTGAATGATAGGTTTCAAGCTTCTGAAGAAATGAGACAAGAGATTCCCCCAAGTCTGGAAGTGAAAACAGAATGTGTCATAGAGGAAAATGACGGGCTATTAACTTCCTGAAATATTTCACCTCTGCCTGTGGCTGTGAAAATGCATTCTCAAGCATTTACAACCTCAAAGGTAAAAGCAAATTAAAAGAACAGGTAGGATATAGGCCTGGATCAAGCAATGAGGAGCAGGGAGATGATGAGCTCAAAAAGGGACAAGAATACAGCAGCACTTCCCTCACCGGCATGGCAGGAAGGAAGAATTAAGAAGTGTGAGGAAAAGAGAAACTGAAAAAGAGATGGTTCAGCAGTTAATAATGCATACTGCTCCTGCAGAGGACCTGAGTTCAGTTCCCAGCATGCCAGTCAGGTGGCTCACAACTGCCCGTAACTCTAACTGCAGTAGGACCCAAGACCCCTGGCCTCCTTGGGTACTTGCATCTGCACTCAGTGCACATACCCACAGACAGACACAGACACACATACACATAATTTTAAAAATTAAAATAAATCTTTTTTTAAAAACTGAACATTAAAGAACAAATTGATTAGAAGAAAAATACAACTGTTGACTAAGGAAAAAGTTAAATCTGTAGAGCCCTAGTAATTAAAAAAACTGGGAGACACGAAGATACAGCTAAGTAGACTCGAAAAGCCACCCTACCCTTCCTCCAGTGTTTCTAGAAAATGAGAAGGCATCATTCTTAAAGTTCCAGGTCAGAAAAATGCATGGGGATACACATCTGTAATCCCAGCACAGGGGAGGCTGAAACAGAAGGCCAGCCTAAGATACATAATAGATCCTGACTCAAAAAACAAAAAAGGCAATCATCATCTTACAATTTTCCTGTGTAAGGTATGCATGAGTGAAGTTGGTGGCACACCCCTTTAATCCCAGCACTCAGGAAGCAAAGGCAGGCTGAGTTCAAGGCCAGTCTGGCATACATAGCAAGTTCCAGGCCAGGCCAGGGCTATATATAATGACATAATGAGACTCTGTCTCCAAAAAAAAAGCTAACAATGAAATAAGGTATACATGAATCAATAAGAAAATCAAGACCCCAATAAATAACAGACCAAAAAACACAGACAGTCATGTAATCAAAAGCAGCCAAAATGGGGCTGCAGAGATGCTCAGAGGTGAAGAGCACTGGCTGCTCTTGCAGAGGACCCAGCTTCAGTTCCCAGGACCCACAAGGTGGCTAACAATCATCTGTAGTTTTAGTTCCAGGGAATCCAACATCTTCTTCTGGCATCCACCAGTACTGCATACACATGGTACACTTACACACATGCAGACAAAACACTCATACATATAAAAAATAAAATTTTAAAATAATAAAAAATGCATATAGTTTTGAGCCAAGCATAGTGGTACATACTTTTAATCTCAGAACTCAGGAGGCAGAGCCAGGGAGGGCTCTATGAGATAGAGGCCAGCTGGGACTACAGGGAGGCAGTGTCTCAAAAATAAATAAATAGGGCTGGAGAGATGGCTCAGAGGTTAAGAGCACCAGTTGCTCTTGCAGAAGACCCAGGTTTGAATCCCAGCATTCACATAGCATCTAACAACTGTCCATAATTTAACTCCTGGGGAATCCAACGCCCACTTTTGACCTCCGAGGACACTGCCCAACACAGGTGCACTTATAGACAATACACTCATACACATAAAATAAAAATAATAAGTATTTTTAAAGCAAATATGTAAATAAAACAAAAATAATTTAAAAATTTTTTAAATGCAAAGATGAAAAAATGTTCTGCTTCACTTAAATAAAGACAAATAAACATAACAAAGACAGCATTTTTTGCCTATTTTTATTTATGCTTGCCAAACTGATAATCCCCGCTCTCAAAATTGTTTATTGTTAGTGCTAGGGCATAGTATAACATGGTTGGAAAACAACTTGGTATTGTGCATCAAGGCAGGAGGATCTCTGTGAGTTCAAGGCCAGCCTGGTCTACATAGTGAGTTCCAGGACAGCTGGGGCTACAGGGAGAACCTGTCTCAAAAAGACCAAAAAAAAAAAAATTTATGTGTATGAGTGTTTGCCTGCGTGTATGTAAGTGCAATACGTGCATACAATGCCCATGAAGGCCAGAAGAGGGTGTTGGATCCCCTGGAACTGGAGTTACAGACAGTTGTTAGCGACCATGTAGGTGCTGGGAATGGAACCTGGGTCCTCTGCAAGAGCAGCCAGTGCTCTTAACCACTGAGCTCCAGCCCCTGAAATAGAATCTTGATATGTAGTCATCCTTCTGCTTCAGCTTCCCAAGTGCCACAGCTGACATCTTTTCTTTTTTTTTTTTTAAATGGGTAGTTATTACTTTCCTCTCTCCTTTTTAAAAATTCAAAATTGCCACCCTATTCTTCTCACCCATATAACTATGGGCCAGGCTAGATTCTGCTGATAAGAAAAGATGTCATTTAGGACCCATTTTTTCAAGGTGAATGGAGCAGCCTCCATCAATTCCTCAGCAAAAGAAAGAACCACAGAAAAGAAGAAAGAGAATGTCTTAGAAATCAATATCCAGCTAGAACAGTATCTACCAGCTTATTCAAGCTGCTCAAATATCCACCCATATTGACCCAAGATCAGGGGACAAGTGAGATTAGTTGAGGACCTCAAGGCCTTGTCCTGGGGAAGGGGGCTCCAATCATTTTGTCCTTTACTCATAAACTGGAGAGAGAAGGAAGAGGAAATGACAAACTAGAGAGAATTCCTCATACACTTCCCACCCTGATTCTTTGATTCTCTAGTTACTGGGAGAAAGATGCAAGCTTACCACATCTGTCAGGGTCTCCAGTTCTTTAAGAGGCATATGTTCCTCCCGGACTGCCACTGGAAAGAACAAAGATCCATATCATCCAAAAACCCTTCTTCTAGATATGTACCCAAGAGGCTTGACAGCAGAACTCAAGGAAATAACAGTGTGCTGATGTTCACAGCAGCACTATTCACAATGGGAAAAATCCATGGAAATGGGCAAGGGTTGTAGGTCAGTGGTTGATTAGTTGCTTAGCATACATGAGACCCTGAGTTCCATCCCCAGCACTCAGTGAGGAGGAGGAAGAGGAGAAGAGAGGAGAAGGGGAAGGAGGAGAAAGGAGAGGAAGGGGAGGAGGAAGAGAAAGAGAAAGAGCCAGTCCAATGGGATCCAGTGCCCTCTTCTGGCTTCCGGGAGCACTGCACAACATGGGTGCACTTACATACATGGAGACAAAACACTTGTACACATAAAATAAAAATAATTAAATTAAAAAATAAAAGTCAGGCATGGTGGTGCACGCCTTTAATCCCAGCACTTGGGAGGCAGAGGCAGGTGGATCTCTGTGAGTTCAAGGCCAGCTAGGGCTACAGGGAGACCCTGTTTCAAAAAAGACCAAAAATAAATGAATGAATGAATGAATGAATGAATGAATGAATAAACAAACAAAAAAACAAACAATAAGCAGGGCATAGTGGATCCTTCCTGTAATCCTAAACTACTCAGGGGGTGAATGACATGTATTTGAGGACAACTTGGGCTACATATTGAATTCCAGGCCAGCATATACTGCAAAATAAATAACTAAGGGGGCTGGAGAGATGGCTTAGGGGGTTAAAGTCCTTATTATGAAGCATGAGGAGGTGTGAGGACCTAAATGTGAACCCACATAAAAGCAGGATGCAGCAGCAAAAGCATTTGTAACCCCCACAGGGAGATGGGGGGTGAAGACATGAGAAGCCCCTTATGTTCATGGGCCAGTTAGGCTGGTGTGAGAGCTGGAAAAACAACAGAGACCCTGCCTCAAACAAGGTGGAAAGAAAAGACCCATACCTGAGGTTGTCCTCTGACCACCACATAGTGGCATGTATTCACTGCATTCGCTCACCTGAGTGCATATGTAACACATGCATACACACACACACACACACACACACACACACACACACACTCACACACATTTATGGGAAAAGGTACAGGAGTCTTCTAGCAACAGTTTGTCTCTTTTGGGAGGGTGAAAATGCTCTAAAATCAGATAGTGCTGATGGCTGCACTTAGGTATACCAAAAAAACAAAACCAGTGAACAGTTTGCTGCAGAGCCCGGTTTCTTGAACTGTGGGTGGTAACCCCAAATGCAGTTGCCTAAATGAATGTGGGGGTCAGAAAAATTTGGCATCAGTAAAAGGCTTCTGATAAAAAATTCATTAAATATCAAACACATGATGAATCCAAGGTGTTTTGGTCGCACCCGCCCAATGCCCATGCTGCATCCTGAAAGCTCACTGCAGCCTTGATTCTGAACACAACATGCCCACATTGCCTTGATAGGCAGTCTCGCCACACAGAACGAACAAACAACAAAAGGTGTCCAAAACACCTCACCTCAGGTTGGAGACTATTGTGTGCTATGAATCCCAGTACACACACACTTTTCTGCTTTTATAAAAATGTAATAGCTGGCCGGGCATGGTGGCGCATGCCTTTAATCCCAGAACTTGGGAGGCAGAGGCAGGCAGATCTTTGTAAGTTCCAGGTCAGCCTGGTCTACATAGTGAGTTCCAGGCCAGCTGGGGCTACAGGGAGACCCTGTCTCAAAAAGACAAAAAATAAAAGTAAGTATATATATAAAATAGCTGGGGACTGGAGCAATGAATCAATGGTTAAGAACATTTGCTATTCATCCAGAGGACCCGGGTTCAATTTCCAGTTCCACATGACAGTTAATACCCATTCGTAACTCCAGTTCCAGGGAATGTGACATTCTCTTGTGGCCTCTGTGGGCATTGTATGGACATGGTGCACTTACACACATGCAAGCAAAAAAAACTATACATATAAAATTAAAATAATAAATAAAAAATAACAAAAATATAATGGCTGGACATTGGGGCATACACCTTTAATCCCAGCACTCAGGAGTTAGATGCAGACAGATCTCTGTGAGTTCCAGGCCAACCTGGTCTATATATTGAGTTCCAGGCCAGCTAGGACCACACAGTGAAATCTTGCCTCCAAAAAAATAAGTAAATTAAAAAAAAAAAACTGGAAAGATGCTTAGATGTTTAAGAGTTAAGAGCACTTGCTGTTCTTTCAGAGGACCTGGGTTTGGTTCCCAGCACCTGTATGGTGGCTAACAACTATCTATAACTCCAATTCCAGGGGATCTGATATACACCCATACATGCAGGCAAAACATTCAAACACATAAAATAAATAAATCTTTTTAAAATTGCTGTTAAGGCTGGGCGTGGTGGCGCACTCCTTTAATCCCAGCACTTGGGAGGCAGAGGCAGGCAGATCTCTGTGAGTTCGAGGCCAGCCTGGTCTACATAGAGAGTTCCAGGCCAGCTGGGACTACAGGGAGACCCTGTCTCAAAAACACACACACAAAAAAAGAGTGCATACTGCTTTAAAAAAAAAATGCTGTTTGGGGTGGGGGTAGAGGTTAAGAGCATGTATGTCAGGCAGCTCACAACAGCCTGTAACTTCAACTCCAGAAGATCCAACACCCTCTTCTGGCTTCCACAGGTGCATGCACAAACATGGTATACACAGACAAATACATGCAATTAATTAAAAATAAAATAAATCTTCAAAAAAGAAAAGACGAAAAATCTGGGGCTGACAAGATGGCTCACTTGGTAAAAGTGCTTGCTTAACAAGTCTAACAACCTGAGTTCAATCCTGACAAACCCATGGTGGAAGGAGAGAACTGATTCCCGAAGAGCCTCCACATGTGTGCTATAGAACGTGTGCACTTACACACCCATCATATACACAGAGACACACTAATAATAATAATAATAATAATAATAATAATAATAATAGTACATCTTTTAAAGCTGACTGGGGCAAGGTTCAGGGGAGGGGAGGAAGGAATGAAAGCAGTCAGAATTAACAGTATTTCAGCATTTGGATGCTGGCTTTCCATTCTTCCCCCAGTTCCTTAGGGACTGAAGAGAGGAAGGAGCAAATGAGATGGAACCAAAAGACTGGGGAATAGGACACCCTGCCTTCCATAAAGGAGCATGAAGCAGAGAATAGCCCACAAAGGAAAAGGAAAAAAACTGAAACAGGTGATTACAGGAGCTTAGAGGAGAGGAAAGGAGACAAGTCCCTTGGGAGCTGGTGGCATTCCAAATTTCAGGCAGGAGTAAGGCCAGGAAGGAGACTGAGGCAACCACTGGAATAACCTGGCTTTGTCTCCTCTAGTAGAACCAAGGTAAAGACCTGCAATGCCCAGGTTGTACATGACACTCATGGATATGCAATGAAAATTAAACAGCACTCTCAAGATTGATAAACCCAGTGCAAGGCAGCAGCGGCCTCTGCAGAAGGAAGAGAATCTGGAGACAACAAATGGGGGCTTACTTATCACTCTCATGATTTTGGATATTTCTACGATTTTCTCTATTCTTTTTCTGTTCTGCCTGACACACAGGTCTGTGATCCCTTATCCAAGATTGTTGGTGTCCAATCTATTTCAGAATTTAAAATTACAGGGAATTCAGAATGTAGCTCAGTGGTTGAGCTTATCCTTACCAAGAGCAAGAGCCAGGGTTCAACCCCCAAAACAGGACAGAACAAGATTTAAAATTATAATGTAAAGCTGGGTATGATGGTGCATGCCTTTAATCCCAGCAGTCAGGAGACAGAGGCAGGTGGATCTCTGTGAGTTCAAGGCCAGCCTGGTCTACATAGCGAGTTCCAGAGATTACAGGGAGCCCTGTCTCAAAAAGAAAACTTAAGGCTACACAATAAGAAACAGTACCAGACAGGAGAAACTTTAAGTTGTTGGCCAGGGTAGTCCAAGAGACTCCCAAAATTACACAAGTTATTACCACAGCTCTTGATTGCCTCCCAGAATTTGAAGGTAAGGCCCTATTGCTAAAGACAAGGCATACTTCAAAAACAGGATTTGGAGCAATGGAGCTGGAACTGACCTGGAAACCACCTCCCCTGAAGGCTAGCTCTCATAACTTTGGAGATACTACACAAGCTGGTAAGGGAGGCCATCAATTGATGATCGGTCCAACCTCAGCTTCAAGACCTAAAAACTACATCAAAGACTGACAAAGCAAATTACATTGGTGCAGTAGTGGGACTTTTACCTTGGGGGTAATCAACAGCTATGTTATTAGATTTCAAGCCTATTCAATGGGAGGAAATTCATGTGTGGTAATGTAAACCTAGCCAAATACAAGTGGCTGGAGAGGTCATAGATCTTAGAGAAAACCCCAAGGCTGTCACATCCCTAGACAAACGTAATTTCTTACTATGTGCAAAATATGGATCCTTAAACTTACAGACAAGTATTCCAGTCACCACCCATCAAAGAAGTTTCTTTTGAAACACATGGAGACAATTACAGAATTCCACAACTGGTCACACACATAGTCTGTGAATTGCCCAAGTCTAAGTGACACATCTCTGATGCAACCTCTACACCTAAGGCTCACAGAACATAAAACAAGGGATGAAGAGAACACTAATGCATCTTTCAATTCTCATCAATGAAGCTCCCTCATGCAACAAAGGGCCAGGAAAACAAAAGGTCACAAATAGCCAAAATATAGAGAACAAGAGTCTACAGAGTGTGGGTTCTTGGACAGGACTCCTATATTAAAATCCACCCACCCAGGGCTCAGGGACCATCTGAGAAGAGGGGGTGGAAAAATTGTAAGAGCCAGGGAGGAGGTGCATGACCATATGCAAATGGAGTCCTACAGGCTCCTGGGACCCTTCTCATATGAACCGATAGCAATGGTGTTAGCATGCACAAGACCCATGCAAACTCAAGCAGACAAAAACCCAGCACAGAACTGTGGAAATGGACAGCAGACTCTAATCTTAGTTGAAGAATTATTGGCAAATGATTATTGCTCGGTGAGGAAGAGCTGATCTTCTTAAAGAGAAGGACTCTAAATAGGCTGACTAGACCTCAGTGGATGAACTTGCACTGAGGGACATCTGGGGACACTAACTTGACATGATAGGCCTTAACATAAATGACAGAATGTATGAATTCCAGTGGGGGACTATGAGAGGGGAGCAATGGGGGAAGAGGGTATAAAGATGATTAAGATGTTCTGTATGAAATATACAAAAATTCAATAAAAAATTTAAAAAATAATAAAAATAAAATTGTAATATAATATGGTAACATGATAACCATGTTATATAATATGGTAACATCCCCAGATGTAATTAAGTTAGAGTGGTTGCCTAGCATGCGCGGAGCCCTGGATTCAATCTCTAATTGGCATATGCCTGTAATCCCAACATTCAGAAGGGAGAGGCAGGGGGATCAGAAGTTCAAGGTCAACCTCAGCTATACTGCAAGTTGAAGGCCAGGCTGGGCTACATGAAACTCTGTCTCAAAAAAACCAAAACAACTCTTCACCTTTCGTCCCCCACCTGTCTCTGTTTCTCACCATGTCTTCTCATAAGACTTTCAGAATCAAACGATCCTGGACAAGAAACAAAAGCAAAATCGTCCTATTCCCCAGTGGATTTGGATGAAAACTGATAACAAAATCAGGTACAACTCCAAGAGAAGACACTGGAGGAGAGCCAAGCTGGGTCTGTGAGGATTCACACAAGATGGCACAACTGACTGTTTAAGCTGAATCATGGTCATCCATTAGTCCTACCAGATGGAACTTAAAGTTTTTAACCTGGAGATTTGATCATATTTAAATTAGGAATCTGATTTGCTTCTTTTTTTTTTTTTTTGGTCTTTTTGAGACAGGGTCTCCCTATAGCCCCAGTTGCCTGGAACTCATTATGTAGACCAGTCTGGCCTCCAACTCACAGAGATCTGCCTGCCTCTGCCTCCTAAGTACTGGGATTAAAGGTGTGTGCCACCACACCTGGCTGATTTGCTTCTTTATCGTCTCTGTATGAGTGAATTGATTGGCCCAGTAATAAACGTAGAATCTTTAAAAAAAAAAAAAAAAAGGAATGTAAGAGTGTAGAATGAAACTCCCGACTCCCACTCCAGGGGGTTCCAGAACAATACTTAGCCAAACTTTGACTATTATCTGTATGTGTGAAGTAAATATATGAATATTTATATTCAGTGGTTTAAACAAATCATAAATACCTTCATGTCAGTTTAGATTAGGTTTTACCACCAAATAAGTTTAGATGCCAAACCTTGTGGAGTAGGGAACTTGAAATTGTTAGAGGTTTTTTTTTTCTTAATTACATTTATATATTTATTTGTGTGTTTGGAACGAGGGTGAGGGGAACTTGGACATGAACATGCCACAGTGCACATGTAGAGGTCCGAGAATAACTTATAGGAGTAGGTTCTCTCCTTCCACCATGTGGGTCCCAGGGATCCAACTCAGGTCATCAGGTTTGGAGACAAGCATCTTTAACCTCTGAGCTATCTCCCTGGCCCCTTGTTAGAAATTTTGAGATTTACAGAGAATGGACTGTAAATCTCATTAGAATTATTCTTCTAATGGAAATTGAAGGACACTTAAAGGGTATCAATACAAACTTTAAAGGGGCATGGTGTGGGGGACCTGGAGAGATGGCTCAGGGGTTAAGAGCACTGGCTACTCTAGAAGAGGATCCAGTTTCAGTTCCCAACACCCACATTGAAGCTAACAACCATTCATAACTCCAGTTCCAGGGGATCTGATGCCGGCTTCTGACCTCTGCAGACATAGCATGCAGACAAAACACTTACATGCAGGCAAAACACTCATACACATAAAAAAAATAAATAAATAAATATTTTAAAATTTTATCTTATTTGGTTTTTTTTTTTTTTCACTTTTAGATAGGTTCTCCCTGTAGCCCCAACTGGCCTGGAACTCACTATGTAGACCAGGCTAGCCTCAATCTCACAGAGATCCACTTACCTCTGCCTCCCCAGTGTTGGAATTAAAGGCATGTACTACTAGACATGTGTGTGTGTGTGTGTGTGTGTGTGTGTGTGTGTGTGTGTGTGT